GGCCCCATGAAAATGTGCTCAGTAGGCACAACCTGCACTGCTACCGCCAGCTTCATAAATGGAGGAATAACAATAGACTCCCCACTGGTGTTAGCCACAAAAATATCAATCGACGCACCATCAAAACGGTTGATACCTTAACCCCTTCGCATCAGGACACGGGTAGAAATGCCGTAAAAATTGAGATCCTCAGCCTGCTTTTCAGCTATTATTCTCGGTCCATGCTCAAGCGAACACGGTGAAAGAAAGCAGACCCTGGCTCTTGTATATTTGCATCATAATCACCAGCTTCACAATAGCCCCCACTTTGAAAAGAGGTAACAGGAATGTGGAAACGTGAGTAGAGCTGCATGCCACCGAACAATCAGCCTTTTCACTGTGTAATTCAAAGCGTGCAGAGCACGCAGGGCCACAAACCGAGAATTTGCAGTTTGGCAGGTGGCCTTCGCGGCCTAGCGAGGCTGGAATTCTTGGAGTCGGTTTTCAGGAAGAAATTCCCGGCGCGAAGGGGTTAAAGTAACTGACACAACATAGAAGGATCAGCAACATCAGGTGACCGCACTTCCTTGAGGCCACCATGACTTGTCAAACACAATCAGGACGCCCTTATCAGAAAATCTTTGTCATCTGGTAAAGAAGTGCTTACATCTAACTTGCATTGAACAAGTTGAACTGTGCTTGCCTGAATAACCTCTTGGTCGCAAGAGATCTAGAGCCAATGACTCAGAACAAACATTCGAACCACTGCCTTCAGCGTTGGATGTGGATTGCATCCAACANAAGTGCTAATTCCCAGTAAGGGTCAAGCTGCGTTGACCCCATAACCTCCACTCGAGATGCCACTCGCGGCAAAATGTTGCATCCAAGGATTACAGGACATTGATTTTGGGGAGCATTACAAGAGGCTTCAGTCTCTTTCGATACAAGAAAGCTACCCCTAAACTTCTGGCCAAACGCTTCCAGGGTGGTCTCAAGGTAACCCTGAACAGGAATCTCTAAATCGTTCGCGCCCATTAATTTAATGAGCGTACCCACTGGTTCCAACTTCCTAAAATCACTTGCCATGTGTGCATTATAAAACCTGGCAGACATCAAAAAGGTCTCTGCTCCAGTATCTAGTAAACACTTAGTAGGAATGCCATTAATAATAACTGAAGCCGTTAGAGTTCTGGCCAGAAGTCTACAGCGAACCTCAGATGATGACAACTTCACGTCAGCAAACACAGGGTCATCTGTCACCTTGTCACAAATAACATGCGCTTGGTCATTAGTAAGAACCGTGGGCACTACAAAAGATCTAGTATCCTCTGTCACCCTGCCCTCTGTGACAGAGGCTGGCCGTTTCCCAAAGGCTCCCTCAAGGGCTTTTTTTCCGAAGCCGTAGCCTCAGGTTTCTTGCCCTCCATGCGCTGACGCTTAAAGCAGTTGTCTACTGCATGCCCTGGTTTACGGCAATTGGAGCACTGTAATGGACTTCTGCCAACCTTGTCCTTGCCTGCACATGGTTCAATTGCTGACTTTGCCATGCTCTCTGACACTGCTTTCTAACTTTGCATTTATATCTGACTGTTGGTCAATCAGTTTTTGCACCAACGAAACAAGTGTGTTAGTTTGTCATCACTTGCTGCATTCGGTTTACTGGAGTGCGCAGCATATACGGTTTGAGCGTTTTCAACTTCACCTTCTGGCATAAAAGTACCTTTTGCATTGGGATAAAGCCCAAGAGCTAGCTCACGAAAGCCAAAGAATGGCAAGTCCATATGATCATATGACAACTTACAAAGCTCTCTCCGTAAGGAGGGATCCCCAACGCCCCTAATAAACTGTTCTTTGAGTGTATTCTCCCTCAATTGACTAAGCGCTGCTCTACTTTCATCGGTATTAGCCGCACATTCCATTCCTATCGTACAACCTAATAAATAAGTGACCGGCTAAAGTCAGCAAGACTCTCTTCTTGGGTCAGGGTTCACAGCGGAAAAGTACAATGTACATGTACACAAGACAGCAAGTGCACTTAAGTGGGCGGAGTCCCAGAGACTCTTATCCATATTCATGAGGTCCCTAAATTAAGCAACAAAGCCAAAATTTGTCGCATGTAAACGCGAACCAACAGTTAAGCCATCACCGGTAACTTTAATCTTAAGTTAACTTTCTTCAGTCGGGGGCATATTTTCAATGCATCGTCTTAATTTGCATTCCAACTTTTTTTGCACTCTACCATTTGGTAACTCCTGAACAGTGAAAAGGCTATTAAGTTCTCGCATACGTGTATGAAGAGCATACAGTGACGGAAATGATTCACTCTCGATGGACATTTCCTTGTAAGCCCAATCTGCTATCATGAAACTGTCTTTGATATAAAGCATTCTATTCACTGATGATTTAGTTGAATTTTCGTCTTTGATGGGACACTCAGGAAAGTATACAGTGTCTACATGTCTTCAATCGTCATTGTTTTTACTACAACTCCTTGATTTGTGAGCAAGTCTTTTGTAAAGTGCACCGTGTCTTTCAGACCTTTCTTCTTCTGATTTAACAAAGTTCTTCCATATTTTTCTTCATCTCTACCTGTGTGCGATTAGTGCGTCTACCAATTAACCTGCACAGTGTGGTTTGGGTCTTTTTAACTGATTTCTGGGATTCTTTTGCCCTTTGTTTGGCTTCTTTTGCATCATGTTCTGCTAACTTTCTTCGCTTCTTTTCGCTCTCAAGTTCATGGTCCATTTTTCATTTTAGTGCTCCTAATTTGAGTTTATAAACACTATTTTGTAGTTTTTCCATGTACTGTTGAGCCTGCTTTCCACCACTTTGAACAGCCTTAGATAGACGACTCATGATGCGTTTGATTGTGTGTCTCAAACGATGGGTTACTCGCACATCCAGAAAGTCAAAATTTATGTCATTTTGCTCACATATTTTTTTTCGCACGGACTCTGCCTGGCCCACCCCAGGTGGAAGCTCACTATCCTTCACCAGTCAGTAAATCACATAATACCTCACTTCTAGAATCCAATCTGAATCTGGATGGCAGTCACCAAAGGACTTCACCCCATTCCAAAGATTAAAATACAAAGAAACAACTTCAACACAGAAGCCATCTTGAATTTAGAAATTTAGAACTGTCACATCTACACTCCCAGATCAATAGTTGAACATTTCTTGACGCAACAAATTGTTGTTAAAATAGTAACAACAAAGCACCAGTGACTGCACCAATATGCAACTATATGTACAGGTATATGCAACTCACACACTCAATCCTAATTTGTGGAATACATCACAATTTCCAACGAGCTTGACAAAACGAAGAGCTAGAAGATAACCCCTGTGAACAAGCTGCTTCTCAAGAGTTCCTCTCTCTGTCAGGACATACTCATCCAAACACCTTCGCTCATGAAGCCAGACTTGAATTGTCTCTTCTTCAACGTATGCGAAGCCTCCTGCAGCATTGACAATTCTAAACCACCAGCCAACGCCAAGAAACTTGGCAACGGACTTGTGTGTGGCCCGGTAGATTTTTCATCCTGTCTTCGAATTGCCTTCCAAGGTTGCAACAGAGTCAATAAATAACTGAAAAATTTCTCGCTGCACAGTAATATAAATTGTTATTTCAGAGTCCCTGACTCATGTGAGGTGGAGGTTTTCCTTGACCTTTGTCTTCAAGTCCAGATTCACAGCACTTGCTTCTTCACTTTTGGCTTAAGTATCAGCGATGTCTGACCTGGGTCGCCATTCATCATAATGGTCATCCCAGCCAATATAGTGAATCTTCACTTCCTCAGCTCCAGATGAAGCCACTCTTTTGTCAATGACCTCTAATCGAAAAAGCTCAGAGGTTGACCAATTTGCATTGCTTGATTTCAAAGGCTGAGATGGCCCTAGGACTGGTCTGTTGTGGATGGCACGGTAGTCAAGCCTCTGTTTGGTACTTCTCTCCCACAGATTCATAACCTGAGGACCCTGAAAAAGATCAAGTAGTTTTGTCTATGGGGCTGCAAGGCACAAGAAACTTAAAAAGCTCAATAATCCACTTTTTCGGCAATTTGTCAATGTACATGTAGGCCTAGGCCTACTTCTACACGTAACGTTTTGTAAAATTGCTGGCCTAGGCATAATATGAACTCCTTCATGTCCTATGTTTCTCGAAATTTGATAAAAAAATTCCCCTATGCCAAGACAAAGTTTACTTCCTCAGCACAAACACTGACAAACCTAGGCTACGGTAGCTGACATTGCACGGTAAACTTGGTAAACTAAAGCGAACCTTAACATTTGTTACAAATGCCTTAAGTTTGCTTTAAGTGCATGACTTTACATGCCTAGCCACCACACAGCTCCCAATACACTCACTAGACCCACATACACACACATGTACAATGACCCACCTTTTACTTAAAATGGTAGGGTTCGAACCGCAAGTAACGTCATGAACGTGGCCAACTCTTGCAAGCCCCCAAAAGTTGATTATTTTCAAAGCAATTTTTGCATCATTTTGGTCAGGAATTTATGCACAAAAAGTACACAGTTTGTGCCTTGATAATCAAATAACAGATATACAGATTTTTTACAAGCTTACCTGCGTGGTAAACACAGAAACTCTGGCTTTGAAGACAGACAATGTGCAGCTGACAGAAAAGCAGAATCACGTGTAAACATATAGCTCCTTACCGCACTGACGAAACCGTTAGGGATAGACCGATGGCTACCATTGGTTGTTTTTTTCAACTCCAAAAGTATGGCGGTTTTTTTGACCAATTGCCTGGATTTTATATCATAGTAGAGATGAAGATCTCAACTATTCGATTGCTTTCTCCCCTGAGAAATCTGTTACTCCAATAAGGAATGACGCTCAAAGAATTGTACCGCGAGGGTCAAAAACTGCGCGCAACCACAAAGAAATGAGCTTGGATTCGCATTTTCAGAGTAAAAAATACGGTGGTTTTTAAAATGATAGAAACAAATAATTATCATTAGTATATTGATGATGAACTAAACATTTTATTGCCATTCGCCCCCGTGAAATCGACTGAACGGTTCTCAACTTATGACAAAAAAAGCAAGAAAAAGTGGCAATTCTTGCTTAGTTTTGGGTACGTAAAGGAGACTTCACACAGGAAACCTCTTAAGTGGCCAACACAAATTCATGTGTTTTGTAGACCTCGTCACTGGAGATGTGCCTGTACCAACCGATGCCAAGGATGTAACGCAGGCAGGTCTGATGAAACGCATCAAGGCAGCGGATGGTTTAGAAGAGGGAGACCAGGATTCGCATCTGTAGAGCAGAACAGGCAATACACTGGTGTTGAAGATGCGGATTTTGGTAGATGTGCAGATCTTACCACTGCGTCATACCTGTGAGAGACAACCAAAGGTACTGTGGGCCAGTTGAAGGCGGCAGTTGGTTTACAGCTCTGATAAGCAGTCATTGGAGATCTTCGATCCAAAGTAGATGAACTGGTCCACCACTTCAACCTGCTAGTCGGAGATGTTAACTGCCGGAGGGAGAGGAGGTAGAAAGTCGGACAGGGACTGCACTTTCGTCTTCACCTAGCTGATGGTGAAACCTTAAGGGTGAAGCAACCTCATCAAGAGCCTCCACAGCCTCCACTAGGGTGTCAAGCAGCGTGGCAGGGAGCACAACATCATCCACGTAACACAGGTCTGTGAAATGAGAGTAGTAGTCCACACCAAGGTCAGGACAGCGCTCCATCGGACAGTTCAACCAGTAATTAACTGCAACATTGAACAGGTTCGGTGCAGCCACACAGCCCTGTCGAACTCCTGAGGTGGTTCGGAAGGGACCTGATAGGGGTACCTTTGGCCCGCATACGGCATGTGCTGTTGGTATAGAAGTCTCAGAGGATGCAGATGTACTTGGGAGGGACTCCTACGCTCTGGAGAAGGAGCCAGATGGCGTTCTTGTCCATAGAGATGAAGGCAGCCTTCAGATCCACAAAGGCAACATATACCTCTTTCAAACAAAAAGGTGCCCCACGTTGAGCCCCGTCATTGACTCCAGCACAAGTTCAGTTCAAGTTTACACACACTTTGTACGTGATTTGGGATATCTTATTGATTTACACGTTCCCTGCACCAAGCAAAACCATCAATACATATACCTCACACCCATTTACAGTAAGCAGTTTCAAATTTGCAATATAAAAATTCAGAAAAAAATCAAGTTCTCGATACACAGTGCAGCTATACATGAGAAGACTTTGTCCACTATCCCTTAATGCACTATGAAAAAAGCCTCTCCATACCAATCTCTTGGTGGCACATTGCATTATGAATTTCCCATGTGCGTGTATTTCTACTGCCGGCCTGAGAAAAGGTCAGCCTTTGCCAAATTCCCTAATTATAGTTTTGCTCTTCTTCAGTTTTGCAAAGCACTTTACCCACTGCAATAATATACATTCTGTACTGTACATTTCATCCCAGCAGGATAAGTAAAAAGCCATATTCAAGTTCTCAAGCTATTGCACTCGTTCAGAAAACTGCTTATTTTCTGGAAATTCTCTTCATTTCTGTAACTGTCAGGTCTCTCTTTCCAGCAAATCACACACAAGAAGTGAAGACACAATTTCATTGATTAAAAGACTATTTATGTTGACCTTTAGCTTGTCAAATTATAACCATCGATATCTAATTATGGAGGAATGTAGGAGTAATCTGATGAACTGTTTGTTCGGCCACACATTACCCTTCCAGTTAGCAAACAGAAAAACAGATGATGCTAGAAGAAAAGTTGAAATAAATGACAAAATACTGATTGGGTTCATGGGAGGATATGTGTGGGCGTTTCCTTTCTTCTTGGAAGTGGGGCGCTGTTAAGCTTAGGGAGATCTTGGTCGTCATGTTTTCTGACATTGCCTTTCTTCCTTTGATGGATGTGCACTGCTAGAAGCAACATACAGGGTGGTAATGTTGTGACCAAGCCATTCGATCGTAGGATCATCCCAGCTGCCACCAGCAGCCTGCTGAAATGTTTTTCCGGTAGATCCTGGTTGAACTTCTCGCTCAAAATGTATTCAACTCCAGGATATGTCAACAGCAACTTGCCCAGCTCCACTGAACTGAAATAAAACAATCCAAAAACATTTTTGGCACGCACGATAGCTCAGTTTTAGTCATCTAGTATGAACATGGATAAAAATTCAATTTAAATTCCAACAGCTTCAAAATATCTTTTCTATTTTGCTCTGTGACTTTTCAATTATGATAAATTGCGTTGTACTCAATGGAAATTTCCTATTGTACAGTTCTTATTCTCTTTTTGTTCTTTTTAGCGAAGGGATTGATCATTGGCTAGGTCGGAAAAGACCCCAGGAAAATACCAACCAGGCAATGAATTGGATCTGAATTTTAAAAGGACATACCCAAGAGGACTTATCCCAGTGATAACATGGAGGTACATGAAGGAAATTAAGACAACAGTGGTGAAAAAAATTACCGTGGGCATGAGAATATTCAAAATGGAATTGCTTTCATATTTAATCCCCCCCTATAGCTTGATCTCATTTCCATAGCATTATTTACTTATTTAAGCATGCAGGTACTCCATAATTTAGCCTAGGCCAGTAAACATTAAAAAGGCCAACATGACATGCATGATCAAGCTGTCTAGGCATGCTGGCTATGGTAACTTTTCAACACAAATTTCCTGAAGTTGGTTGGTTTATTCGCAATTGACATATCTCCATCAATAAGTAACTGAACTCATACATCATTTTATAATTGTTAAAAACATGCCATGACATTTACGCCCTGGAACTTGACATGATCATGATCAGATGATCACAAGTTTGGATAAAATTGTGAGAAATGGTCATCATCACTTGACCAAATGCACGTACATGCACATGTAACAAATTCTTAAAGAAGTAAATTTTTTTCCGATGATACAAAATCCCAACTTTTTGAATGCAAATTTCTCTTGTGGTCCACAGTGCTCCACACTCATTTACATACACAGTGTGATGAAAAGATCTAGGCCTCTTAAAAGTCCTTTCTTTAAGTCAGGGGACAAAAGGACCCTTCAAAAATCGTATCTAAATACCCTTCATAATCTTTTATTTTTCATATTTTACAAAACAACGATTTTTGTACAAACCTGCCAAGGACTGATCAAAATCTTTTGACCAAACTATCATCAGACTCAGAAATTCACCGTGAAAAAGTTGAAAACATGGCACCTGTATCCTGGCAAGCTAGAAACAACTGCACATGCAATCTTTTCCATATTCGTTTGCTGGTAGCTTAGATATTCTCTCCAGTAATGGTCTTCAGTTCATAGGACTGTGACGAAACACGGCATTAGACCGTGTGCACAGAGAACGTCATCGCGGTCGTAAATCGACTGGGCTCAGCGGGTGTCCCCATTGATTTACTGCAGCTTTGCCGGAGGCGCTAATGGGTATGATTGCTTGTGGTTTCTTTTCTTCTGCCTCCACCTCCTTCTACCTACCTTCTTTTCCTACTTCCATTGGTTAAGGCAGTGTTCAGCATCCCTTTTTTTTTCCTCTTTCCATTACCATTGGGTGATGTAGTAGGCTTCATGGAATGGTAATAGCACCCTCTATGGTTGTGAGCATTTTATAGCGGAGCCTCTGATGCAGCAAACACAACAGAAATTCCTCCTGCCAGGATTGCTAGGAGAAACCAGTCAATGTCATTAAGTTCTGTCAATTTTATTCCAGTGTTAACCCTGAAGTTGGCCATTCCAAGCCCGATTTTTTTCAACGCTCGGTGTGCATGTACAACACTCCTTATCAATGCAAATCAATCTGACATACAGCTTATAGTTGAGATTGTCATTTGAAGTTCAAGGTCACTACAAGCGTACCAGCCACTGCGTACACTCAACACAGCAGTTGAAAGTGCAGGTATGTTTTTTGGTTGATCTGTTTTGTGAAAGTGGGTGCTGAATGAGAACAGTATGCATGATGAACTGCTGTCAAAGTCACTGTAAAAGGTTGCTATATGAAACTAAAGGCATGGCTCGTTAAAAAAAAGGGAAAGAATGGCTGACCTCTTTCATGTGGCCAAGTGTTTAGGGTCTGTGGCTTCCAATCATAGGGTTGGTGGTTCGAATCCAGCTGCTGGCAGTACGTTGTGGCCCTTGGCAAGCCACTTCACCCCTACTTGCCTCTCTGCACCCAGGAGTATAATGGGTACCACCATCAGCTGGGGAAGCAACTTGCGATGGACTGGCATCCCCTCGAGGGAGGAAAAGAAATATTCTCAGTCGGTTCATGTCAAGGAAACTGCAATAAACACTGGCCTGATAAGCCAAATTGGCTCGGACCAGATTTTTTATTTTTTTTTTCAGGAAAAAGGGGTGCTTGTAATGAGAAAGATACACGTAGGCGCGATTTTCACAGAATTGGTGTCAAAAAGACCACAAGAGTTATTGAAAAACTCCTGAAGGCTCGACTACCGTACTTGAGGGGTAGATCTAGTCCCTGGCTCTTTTAGGGTCAAATGAACACACACAATTAACTGCAAAATGATTGTTAAGTTGCCAAACCTAAAAGTGATTTGGTTCAGGTAATATCTTATCACCCCTATTGGCTCGAGTGTCTATATTTGAAATCTTCAACACTGCCTTGACGTTACTTTGTGCATGTGTCTGTGACATCAATGTATGACCTCAACATCATCTTCAATACTTGAAAAGACAACTTACAGTCACTGCGAAAGACAAACTTCTGGATGGACGTTTCTTCCACTCCCACTACCATCTCTGCTTCTATCCACTTGCTAACAAGTGCCCTAACAATTACGAAAAAGTTATCTGGGCTGGAGAAATAGAAAGGCCTCACGTCTATCAATTAACCACATCGTGCCAGGGGCATTTATAAATGTTGATTCTGTTGGGCCGGAGTATTTTTTTTGTGTGTGTGTTTTCAAAATTCTTTAAAAATTCCTACCTTCATTTACTGGACACCGACACCCACACAAAGGACTTTCTGGTTTCTATTCTAATCTGACAGACAACATATATTGACGCGGGAGAATTTCAACCAGGCCTGCTGGCTTGTAAAAAGAGTCCAGATTGTGCTGGATTATCTCCGCTATCGACAGTGAAAACATGTTAGTAATTCCCAGCAGCCTGATCTTTTGTTACAAGTATGGTCTTTTGTTACAAGGCCCAGTTCCCTTTGTCCTATTTCAGACACCCCGGCTGTGCATATAAAGAACATACATGCCCAAAATCGGGCTCCCTGACAGCAAGTGGTTAATATGAATGATTCCAAAGCCATTTTTGTAATTAAAACAAGCAGAATATACAACACTAACTGTTCAGGGTTGTTTGGCTGCCAGACACATCAGTCTGCGTAATTTGTCAAAGTAATTTGCTTACCCAGTGTAACAGGTCAACTCTCCCCAAGGCCAAACAGCCTAGGAGTCTGTAGTTGCCAGTCACCACAAGATCCAACAGTGACATTGTTCAATCTCCCATTGTCTCAACATGACCTGTTTGGCTGTTGTTGATTGACCAGTGCATCAAAAGGCGTGTTCCCATTGGACTTTTTTGGTTAACCTCCCGCGGCTTTCCTGTAGAATTAAAAAATTAAATCTGATGGGAACATCAGATTTAAACTACCATCCCTGTCAACTTACCGCGATCGCAATATAACACTAACAGACCAGAAAGGGTCACGGAAGATTGCCATGTAGCCATGGTAAGTTAGCAGGGGCACAAAAAGTCCAGTGGGAACAATTCCCATACAATATAGATTGACTGTGTCCACGCTAAATATACGAGCGAGAAGAAAATGGTTGTATGGTTCCCAGCCTCCAGCTCCGTGCGTACTATCATACCGCACACACACAGTGAGGCATGCCCGGATAAAGCTATACACACATTGTGTAAAGGGCTTTTCCTAAACAAGTTTGTCGTCTCTGTAGCAGATTTGGCCAAATTCGTCTGATTCTATCTTTGTTTTTGTCAGATTTTGCCAATTTCATCATGATTTGTACAGCGCAGGCAATGTAATCAGCTGGTCTTTTCAGGCATAACACAGCGAATAAACATTCTGTTACTGTTAAAAAAGTCCACGTAGGAATGCACAGTAGATTGTCATGAAGGAATGTCACGGTAACTTTCCACGTACCTGCGGAAGAAAAAGTCCAATTGGAACACGGCTATTGTGCATCATAATTTCACATCAGCTGCAGTATGTTGCATCTGGCCGGGTTAGGGTCAAGGTCAGTATTTGCAGAGTGATACATGGGTAATTCCAGAAATTAGGGGTCCGTCTTTTTTGTGTCCGTCACATCTGACATATGATTTGGTAAGTTCTGAAAACATTTCCTAATGTCTAAGAGTCATGAATTACTGCAAATTACCTGCCAAACAAATAGTAATAGTTTGAAACCAATTCCAGTGATATTTCAAAGTCAAATGACAAAGGTCAGATGTAACAGGGACACAAAAATGTCACACTTTTGGACCCCTCAGATTCTGGAATTACCCACATGCAGTTTTCACCATTTTTTTTTACTCCTCTTCTAAAGGTAGTAGACTGCTAGCCCTCTTTGATTCCACAATCTGACCGTCTTGCTTGGACCTTCATCAGTGTTCCAAGAGCAGATATTATGACACTATAAGAGCCTTGATCTGTGAAATTAAAATAATCATAAAATGACTTAACTAATTCATTCATTTATAATACAAATTGTTCTTTTTACAAAACAAATATTCATTTTCATGTTGTTATTTTTAAGGAGCTGCAAACAAACTGTTCACAGATTCAAAATTGTGATCTTTCATTGGTCAATTTTGGGCAAAATTATACCCCAAGAAAGGTTAACCGTTGGTTATGTTCTCAGCCAGAAACATTTGTCGTCATGTCTACAATGTATACAACATCTGGCATTGTGCAGTCGCTTTAATTTTTAATTTAGTTCTCTAGGACAACAGATATTAACACAGAACCGTACATTTTTTTGATGGCTGCACCAAGTGGCAACTTCAACTTTATTTTAAATAAGGAAAGATTTTCAGCTGAAGCAGATACATTATTCAATTTATGCCTGATCTTCCTGACCCTATAGGGGAGGGGAAAGGTTATCTCCCCTCCCACACACACACAGTGACATAACACCTTCCATTGCTTTCCACCCAACACTGCCCCCTCCCCCTTCGTAATATTTCTTCCCCTCTTTTTTCCCTTTCATGGGTGGAGGGGAAAGCTACCACAGCTGCCTAATTGCGAATTAAATCCGAAGGGTTAGCAGGTGTTGATTACATGTACGCGTGCATGAGCATGATGTCATATCCAGACTTACATGTCTCCATCGTTCAGTCATGTCTTACCTGATTGCCAGGTGAGTGTGCAGGTGTGGGGTCCAACATCAAAGTGTGCCAATGCAATGCAGGCGTATAGGGTGCATGCCATTACAAGGCAGACCTGGAAAAATAGCAAGCTACACCTGCATCACAATAAGAGGAACCCAAACTACCTGAAGAATTTTTAACGGCAAAGTTGCAGGGAGATGAATCAACAGGGACTCACACACCAATTTTACATGTATCCAACTCCCCCCTCCCAAATTGATCAACCCTTACAAAAAAATGACCAAACTGAAAAACTGAATAAGACTTGAAAACCATTAACTAAAGTTTAACCCAAAAAAAGGAGCTGGGATGGGGGGGTGTAGAATCACAGATCAACCAAAATTGTATACTTCTCTACTGCTGTGCTCAATGTGCTGTACATGTAGGCGGGCCAGCACAAACAGTGAATGCGGTCTTCAACTTGAATGTTGGATTGAGCGCACCTAATGTGTACAAAATGAAGCATGGGATGGCCGAGTCACAGTGCCAGCAGTGACAAGGCACATGGTCCAAACTAAGCCGGCTTTTTAAGCCTTCACCAGCACAGTGTGTCAAACAGAACTCATAAGAATACATGTACACTCAGACAGGACTCCAGCAGAAAACCACACTCCAGTTATGTGGAACAATACATGACATGTAAGTTGACTCGTCTCTGCTGATCTGTTTCACTGAGTAAGGGGAACTCGAAAGTTTAAGACCACCTGTAATTTTATTGGTATTTCTGTGACTGGGCCTGCATTACATTGTCTCATTGAATGGTGCATAACATCATTGTTGTAGTGCCATCTGTATAACCATTTGAATAAATTTTTTTGCAATGGCAGGTCTTGTATGACATTTTGCCTGTAAGGCAGCATGGGTAAAAAAAAAATCTGAAAAAAGTCTAAGTAATCAGAAAAAAGGAGGGCATACTTAACATCAGACTGTTAACATTTCAAATCATGGAAATGTAGTCAAAGAGCTGCTTAACCAAGATACGAAGGTTACACACTGAAAATAAACATAAGTTGCCATGATTGATTGGTTTAAGTTTGGGTTTTTTTTCAGGTTGATGCATTTTGTATTGGTGGTCCTAAACTTTTGCAATAACTGTACAATGTACTGGTATATTACATACTTTTACAGGCATGAAAGCCTCAGGGGAGCTACTCTTATGTTAAAAATAGATTCATTGAAACCATGATAGACGCTTGTTGAATGCAACTTATGTGGTGTGCAGTAATTAACATTCTCAGAGATCACAACTGCTGGTGTCTGGAGTTGTACATGTTCATTGCCAGTGAAGATCTTGAGCAAATCACAGTTGTAACAAAATTATGGTATCGAGATGACAAATAATTCACCGACAGGCATGATGGTCAGGAATTTACCAACTGGCTAACTTGAACATGAGAAACTGCTGGGTGAATTAATCAAAAAGGCAATTGAAAAATACCTGTACGTGGCTGATACCGTTCACGGCCGGGGAGCTTTATGCCAATGTTTAAGCCTTCCTCCACTTGTTTCTAGTTTAGGAGTAGGGTCACGTATATGGAGGTATAGTCCACTAGGGTGGCCCTAATGAAGTTGAGTCTCTAACGTGCCACTCTTCGACGTTTCCTTGGCTTTCTTCATGCATTATTCCCAAACCTCTTTGCTGAAAAACTTTGAATTCATTCAGTTACAGTAAATAATGATATTATAACCTTTAAAATACATGCCACTGATCACCTCTGTGAACAATTTTGGCGTCATGAAGTTTAAAAACCCAATATTCAAAAACGACAGCATCCAGAAATTGTCACAAATTCAGCTGAGTGTTCCCTATTTGTGGCACACTTGAACAAATCTCTGAAAATCCCACATCCCAAAGAAAATCTTCAAAGTTGATAAATTCTAGTATTACCCCTAAATAAACTTACATGTATTTTCAGAAAAGTAGGCATAATGATAGCAATTACTTTCTTCACTGTGGGTACATTTTCAAAGCACTCGTTTTGCACTTCAATAAAAAAGGAAATCAGGTCAACAGACCTACATGTACATGTAATTGCAAAGGCTTTGGAACTCAGGACAGTAGGCCTACATACACGGTGACAGTAGCAAGTGCGCGAACTCAACATTTTTGACATGTATGATGTAGGCCTACGGGTACGCGATCATAGATGTAGGCCTATTGAAAGGTAGACCCATAAACAGGGCTTGACTTATACTCCTCCGTCATACATTGGACCCTGTCCCAATTCATAGGGATTTCTTTCAAAAAACTTTATCCGGGATATCCGGGGGCATAACTAAATATCCACTTGATTTTATGAGCTGAAATTGCACTGGTATACATTCACTACTTATGGGTTAAACTATCCCCTAGGTTTTTAATTGCAGAAAACTTGCCTTTTCCTCGTTTGCCTTTTTTAACTGTTTTCCCACTCCGAGCAAATTTTGCCCCACTTGCACAAAACTGACGGCTGTTTCGTCACCTTCGTGTCACGTCACCGAGAGCGAGCCATGCTACCAATAATTTGCTGCAAGCAGTGTGTGACTGGACAGGGAACCAGCCAAGGGCATTGTGTATTAGCTGCACATGTCAGTACGGGACTATGTATATGCGCATGGTGTACATGCAATGTTAGAATTCTGGAAATACTTATATGTCAAAGTTTGACAGTCTGTCAAGAAAGACTGGGATTTTGCCTTCTCATCTGAGGTAACTAATGATGCATCCAAGTGCCTGGCCATCCCAAATTACAAGGCAAGGCATCTCATGCACATGTCGGTAAATTTACATGAACACAGTACATGCAATGTTAGAATTCTGGAAATATGTGTACTTTAATACAGCCTACAGTGTATGCTAAAGTGTGTCGAGACTAGCTTGGAAGATTTTTATTCATGCTGCAGCCATGTGCCTGCCTTCAAGAGTTGACAAGACCAAGTTGACTTGGGACCAAGTAGACCCAAGATGGAATTGAGGTGATTCCAGACCAAGTTGGCTACTTCACACTGACATGACTGAGGAGTATACAGTGTGTGTGCATTGCAATGATTCGCTGGACCACATCCAAACTTTAAAAAGGCAATTCATAAAGAGTCCAAGTTGCTCAGACTATAATTGACTGATCTACATCATCCTAAAGCAGTCGCGTCAATTATCATTTCAAAAATTCAAAGATGCACAGCATGCCAATGTGAAGTTGGGCTAGTAGCACTCAGAAAAATTAATTTTCGACCTTATTGGCCTTGTAAAGGATGGCCTAGTAAGTAGTATTAAAGGCTGCACATGAGCACATCATTAACCCTAACACTCCTCAATCCTCCAACAGGTGAAGGATTGAGGAGTGTTAGGGTTAAATACTTGCTTGGGAGGAACAAACGATTTGCAAGATGTGTGCAAAATCTAAGTGGGCATATATATATAGTATTTCATTTTCACAAAAATGGGCCACGTAGCCCACTGTAGCCAGTGAGTGAAGGCATGCCTAGTGTTGATCCTAGTCCTACTCCTAAGATCAGTCTCAACCTAGCCCCACTAGTGTGGCTAGTCTCAACCATGGAGGAAGGAACACAGGTCTTTTCCTTTCTCCATGCTATGGTCTAAAGGACGAGGCCTAGGAATTTTATTCCTGTAAAGTATGGAATAATAAAAACAAAATACATTACTCCATATCACGTAGGTGTGCCAGGGATTCCTCAGAGACTAATTTCTTACGTCTTGTCATACACAAAGTCGCGAAATAAACGTATAAAACGACCACCGTACGCTCAGTACACTAAAGGCCTACAGAAGCGCGCGTGTACCAACGCACCCACGTGTAGCTTTCAGTGTCCGTAAATGGGTTTTCGATGCAGCGTACCCGCGTGAATTTTGCGTAGTGACGTCATGAACACAAAAGCTCTGCTCGCAAATTCCTAACAGCGCCACCATTCGTCCACATCGGGGGAGTCAGGCGAAGTTCAGTTAATTGTTCTGAGTTCCAAGACCAGCCAGACGAGACGCTAAGCATCCGTGCGGTGACGGTTCATTTTTGTTCGCGCCCGAGTGCACACGCAGCACACACCAGGTTTCACACCCAGACAGGTACGTGCCCCGCGGCTGTCGGCACGGGGTGTGTAGTGTGTGAGCTGTTGTGGTGCGGTGTCATTGGCAGGCCGCGTAATCCTTCATGCGTAGCTGTAAGCGATACTGTAACCAGAGCTTTTGTATCCTCGGAATAATAAATCGCCTGAGATTATGGAGGCAGCAAATAAGCTTTTTCTCAGGTCTGTCTTTTTCCCCCCATGGCTCTTCTGGCTTGGAGCTACCAGGGTAGAGTTAATGGGCTTATCGCTAACAAACCAAACTTGGCCATTCAAAACTGAGCTCAATCACTCAAGAGAAAAAGGGTTTATCCTTGCTCCTGTCTCGAAGCATGGCATTTACCAAATAGGAAGAGTTTTTTTTCGTGGGGGGGGGGGCGGTGAGGAAAACAACAAATAATAAACAAGGTTTGTTTTGTGCAGCTTTGCACCCAGAGTGGTGTTCAAAACATTTTTGGAAATTTGAATTATACGAATACTTTTTTTATTTAGTACATTTGATCAAGTGGATAAACTGTTTACTAGATGCTTGTGCATGTACTTTGGAAGTTGATGAGCATGATATCATATCAAAATGTCGGTCGAAGATGCGTATGTCCTCCAGTCGATGCCCCTGAACAATTTAAGAATGCATTTAAAATGCTTTATAGGTTTGTGAACCTAACTCTTACCTGTTCGACAGAAAGGGTTATCTAGTTGTATCTGCTTTGTTGGTGTATCTTGCATTGAGACATTAATTCCCAGAATTTTAAACATTCAGACCCCTCCACTGACATTATTTAAACAGGTCTTCAAAAATAGTTACCCGTCTTTCGAGGTTAACTGATACACAAACACGAATTACACCAATTACACGAATCACTCAAGAGTGATAAGTTTAATCCGAACTCAAACAGTTGGGGCTGGAGCAGGCCATTTGGACGTGGCGTGCAGTGCTACATTTCGGCCAGGATTAGACTAGATAAGAGGGATTGATCGGAGGCGAATATCGCTTGTTACGATCAGCCCTGGATACGGAGATAGTCGCTGGGATGACTGACCGTTGACCACCGTGGCCTACAGTCAACGACTGCCGCCTCATCGTCGCTTGTCCGTCCATACCGTCCAGCCACAGTCGGGGGAAAAATGCAAACGCGAGAGCGCGGTTGGCTGGCTAGCAGCAGAAGGACACAAGTCACGGGAGAGCCAGCTCCATTGAGAGGGAAAAACGTAACTTCTATAAAGACCTTCGTTTCTTTTCTGCCCGGCTACTTGTTGCACAGTAGCAACACGGAGATGAAAGGGGATAACACCCCCCTGGTGGAAGGAGTTTATGTATTCAAGTTGACGGCTCGACAATGATACACGTATTGTCAGTGATGGGGGAGACACGCACTGCATACGCACCGCCCAGAACCTCCGGCCCATGAAGCCGCACTGACACCGCTAAGCCCCCGATTTGAAGTTCCTGGACCATTTTTGTGTGGGTGTGTGCGCGCGTGGAGAAAGGAAGTTCGGATAATCCATCCCTATAACCGTAGCCTCAGCCGACCGGATCGGATCGCCCGGTGACGATCGGCGTGACCGCGCTATAAATTTTCCAGAGCCCTGACTTTTTAGGATTGGGTCATAATTCAGGTTCCGTGAGTTGTTGGGAGTCATCATCATAGACACCATGATCAGCGCGCCGTGGCTGGTGCGGGAGTACAGGTTACTGCAGCTGACAGCATAATCGGCTCGAGAGCACAGGAATCTGCTTCGCCTGGCAGTCTGTCTTTGCCTGAACCACCAGAGAATGCTTGCCGCAGTCGTCACCCCGGCTCTGTCACTCCTCTGACGAACTTCATCTGTCTCCAAGCACGATGATCATTGGCTTGATCTCAAAAGTTCCCGACCAACGAAAGACTTCCAAAAGTTAAATTCAGTGGAGCTTCACCGACGACTTTTGCACTGATCGAAACAAAAGAAATTTAAAGCTCTCGCTACAGTGGCAATCTCTGAGAAATTTTATATCACAAAAATGGATATATTTGCTTCACACCACCGAGGGATCTCTGGCAGGCGATTCCTACACCATTCACATATTCTTCTGACAGTTCTGTGGTGAGTACTGTAAATTCAGAAGTAGAGCGAGTTAATGAAAAACTATGCGTTTGTGTGCCTACACCCATAAAGTCAAACAATTCGGAGGTGCACTTTTGGGTACAAGGTTTACGCCAATCATGCCACCATCACGCAAACATCTGAACCATGGAGATAGGGTTCACCTCTAAACAGAAACACTTTCCTCAAGTTCAAATTTGGGCAGGTTTGGTGTTTACCCTTTCTTTTTAGATTTTGACACGGAGATAAAAGTGCATTTTGTTTAAGTAAAAATAAGGTCTACCATGGTTTGCAGTTGGCATTATCACTGATATATCGCCGTGAGGCTCTTTAAAAATATAATTTAGCAAGAAAATCGAATATAAATCAAAAATTTGAGAAACTTGAACCTAGTACCATTGCAAACTTCTTATTCTTTTCAGACACAGTTGTACAAAATTCTAGTTGCAGAGGACTTGACTAAATGTCTCGTCACAACAACATTTGCAACTTTGGTATTTTGTTTCACAGCTGTTGTCACAGTCACCACAATCACTCTCATTACCCGACCTTCACCGGATTTTCACCACGATCCACCAATTTTCCCCCTTTCTCTTTTCATTGCCCTAGCAAAATACAGTTCACAATGCTTATTGACAGGGGATTCCGTCAAAATGAGCCTAATCAGTCGCCATTTCGCTGTGTTAGAAATGGGTGTCCGTAATTCGAACAGATTAGGGTGTGAGACTGTGAGTGAAAGGGAACATCCAACTTTACAGACCAAAATTGAAAATACATCAACTGGTGCAGTAGCATGAATCACAGTGTACACTTTCAAAGATCGAAAAGCTTTTTTTTATTTTCCCCCAACGGTTCATGTATTCTATAACTGACTGGTCACTTATTCTGAATAAAAAAAAATCACCATCGAATAACAAACACTTTGACAACCCAGTAACTTTGACAACTACCTCGATTAATCGCAAAAGGAAATCTTAGCGGACTTTACAACCTGTAGTAACTGGTAGAAAAGGGCCAGCTTACTGGTACGTGAGCCGACCCACTTAGTGACGCAGGCTTAAATTCAATCAAATGCATTGAAGACTTCAAACAAATTTAAGTCCATTCATAAGAGCGTACGATAGAAGTGTGTCTTTCAAATAGCTCAGAGGATTCCTCGAATATTACCAATCGAGAATACGTTGCGCGATTTTTGGTCGAGACTTGATTGAGCAAAAGCAAGCCGTTTGCGTCAGCGTTAACTGGGTCCGGGGCATCGAAGGTAAAAAGTTCGTGCAGGCCTGGTGGACGTAACCTTGCCGCTTCGCGTTCGCGCAACTCTGTCGGCTCCGGATTAATCTCCCAGTCACATCTCTGCCGAAATTTTTAGCTGGGCTCTGTCGGCACGGAAATGATTAAATGCCGTCTGGTCTAATTCACGCAGGGACATGAAATGTTAATCGGTGTGGTCAAAATTAATGCACAGACGATAGAACTTCGCAGAAACAACAAAACGGGGACAGTTTATTTAGATTGTCACAGATGCCCTGAAAGTCATCTCGGAAAGGTATTCTCGGTATATGCCAAATTTTGTGTCACCTTTCTGATACTGACGTACGCTGTTTCACAAATGTTACGAAGTGATTGAAGTTTGACGCACATTCGTTTGGCAGCGAATAAAACTCGAATTTATTTCGTTATTATTTTAAGCTCGTAACCACTATTCTCAGTCGTGTTTGCGAAAAACGTCAAGGCACGGTAGTTTTTGGTAGGACTAGTTGTACGAGAGATCTTAAGCACTTTTAGAAGGCTGCATCATAGATATTACTGCTTGGTTTTAATCCTCGTTCAGTTATTTTGCACGTCAGGGTCTGACTTTGACGTGGAAAATTCACTAAGGCATCGCGAGTCACTCTAAGTAGGTTACTAATAGCTGCATACTGTTCTCGGAAAACAAAATGACATGTAGACAATTCGTGTCTTAATGATGATGGATTGGCAGGCGGCAAAGTACATCGGTCAATATACAGGCTGGTATGTTAGGAACCCAAAGGGATGCACAGATTGTCTGTATCGGAATGTAGCCCGGATAAACTGAGCGCATTACATCCCCGTATCTAGGAGAATTGTGATAAAGAATTAATGCCTTGTACAGACCCCCCCCCCGCCATCACCTACAAGCTTATGTTGGTAGGGTTTGGAGCAATGGAAAAAAGATGACAGCTTAAGGGATAGTAAATCGAATACACCACTTCAAAGTTAAATGTTCCAATGCTTTTGAACCTAAGAATGACAAACCATATGAGATTTCAAGAGGGCATTTTTCGTTGTATGAGCATGTGCTAGTCCATCCACAAGTCCTTAAGCCTTCAGGAAGGCTTTGTTGGTTCCAGTTATCGTGGCATCAACAGCAAGAAAGATGTAACCGATTTTTGTTCCCACTTTAATTTGCACAATCCGGCACCGTTGAGATGATGGGGTATACAGGTTAAGGTCCCTCATACCGCGTAACGTTGCCAGAGACAGGCGCAATACCGGCAACCGTCTCCTTCACAAAGGCTGGCTCTGAGAGCAGAGACTCATGTTTTATGATTCCATGTTGCAAGAGGCACTTTTTCTTCCCACAATACGCTCAGTCATTCATTGAACGATACTGCATCCCACAGTGCGACAATTTGGTGGGGGGGGCGCCAGGACAGAGGACACATTCATCAAGTATAAGTTATGTTTCAAACCATCGATAAAAAGTATGATACGAGTTGACATGTTGTTCTCTGCGATTTCCGAGGTTTACCGTATCCCAAGGACAGCCAATTTAATTCAGGGCCTTATCTGGAAGGCTCGACCCCTGTTATTTCCCACTTCCAAGACTGGCATCCCAAATCCTTCATCGTGTCTATAAAAATGGGGAGTATCATGATCAAACCACATTTTTCGGTCTCCCGTTTTATCAGACCTCAAATAGAATCATACAGGAACCGTCATGATGTCAGCAGTTAGTGATGTCCCTCTTGCGCTCCAGACTTAAACGTGTACACCCTCCTTCCTGTGACAGTCCTTGAGACGAACAAATGGGTTCTGACAGATGACATGGGAGGGTCAGGCACACCCAGCAGAAGGGGAGGGGGTACGATCTAGGACAGCGAAGCCACAGTACGGATACTTTTTATATTTGTTCTGATTGCTGCATCAGTTCTACAGTCGATCTCACTTCTGAAGTTTGTTGCGTGCTGTAGGCACGGTCTGGAGCGAGCTACTTTTGTCCCCCCCCCAAATTGATTTAAAGTAGGCCTAGTCATTGCAAAAATATGTGAAAATCCATCAATAGACCAGGTTGTGTCAAATCGATTTGACAGTGGATTCATTGCATTTTAAATAAATGAAATTCAGTTTTTATTTCGATATTATGAAATAGGCCTATACTGCAATAGTCATGCTGCAGTTTGGTGCGTGACGTGTACAGAAAATTTTTAGGGGCCTGAAGTCATGTGTGCCTGTAGATATGCGCCTAAATACGGTCAGTGCATTGCGATTCTGCTCATAGGCACAAGGTAGTTCTCTTTACAGCTGTGATGTTAAAACCTTTGTGAATAGGACAACCATTGACCCCTTACCTGAACCGGTCATGTGTTTTCATCCTTTCCCTCCGAAAAAGTTCTCTGTAGCGCACAGTAATCTCAAATCAGCCAAAATAATACCCTAGGGTGTCCGGAGCATGGTCCTTCGTGAGCCCTTTGTGATCACATTGACTTACGGGTCATTAACAACATGGGATAGAGCTAAGACGTTTTGGTCAAGTAGTATAGGCTCTAAGCATGCTGAAATTCAGCGGTTGTCGAGATCCAATAAGACACTTCCCATATTCAGCCGATGCAACATTCCCTCTTTGTCCGGTTGCCGCGGCCGACCTTGTTGAAACTTTGTAGATGGCCCGCTTGATATAATGGAATTATCTGAGCGCCTTAATCCTTGTTATGCTTGTAGGGTATGGAGCTGTGCAGTAGAGGTCCTTAATCTAGCAAGGGTTGAGTTTTCCATCCACCCTTACCCCTATCTATGGAGAAAAAAAAAAGTGATACCAATTTATAAAATAATTAACTTGCAAAAGCCACCGAGGTATAGAAGCCCCCAGCTCCGTTCGCGGACCTGTATTAGGAAAATAATTTGACCCCTCGAGCTGGGACCGTTCAACGCTTGAGAAGAATCAGAAAGTCAACTGCGTCCGTTCACAAGATGGCCGATAATCCCCTGGCATCTCGGTGGAACAATACAGCCCCGGGCTGACATTGTTTCTGGGTTGCCTGAGAATTTTCACGCCGACAATACCTTCCGTTGAAAGTGAACCGACGGAGTGCGCCGAGACAGTCAGGCGCCGGAAAAAAAGCACAGAATTTCCCTACCTTTAAAGGCCATATCGATCACCCTTTCCTTGGTGAATGGTTACCGATTAAAACAAATTACGAATGACGTAATATCGCCTCGTTTGTACAACGGAAAACAATTTTTTTTGACTTGTACTGTGGTGTGAAATCGGGAAAATTATCCTGGTTCTAAGGCAATACTGTTCATTTATTCGTGAAATGGTCTCGAAAAGGAGCTAACGTACGAAGTCAATTTGTTTTGAAATCTATTTTCACCCGTGTACTTTTTATTTACCGACTTTTATAAAACCATTTACTGCTTGTCTTCCTGTCATTTTTTTGGGGGGGGGGACCCTGGAGGAAGGTGTATCCGTTTGTTTCATCTTTCGTGAATAGAAACCAACTGATCATGCATACATTGGGAACAAACGCCGATTCTGTAATACCATAAAGTTCAGATCTTTGGTCCAACTAAGGTATGAACAAAGACTTCTGGAGTGGTCAGTTAAATTTGTTCACACAGAGTTTGTTAGCCAAGGTGATTGTGAAGCCCGCAAAATGCAATTGTGAACATTGCACGTTAAGGGAAGTCTCCCGGACGTACGTAACACTGAACAGCTTGGCGTCCTCGACTTACAATGAGGTTACCGAATTTATTAC